CGGATGCACGAGCCGTTGAACGTGATAATGAAATGCTATAGAGCATGGCAACTCAAAGAAAGCTGCATTTTGAGGCATGAAGGACGTGGAATATCAGTGTCTTTCAACCCGCCAGAAGGCTAAGACCGATGCCAAGCCGGCGAGGAGATGCATGCGCTCACCCATATCTATGCAGATCTGGACCTACATCACGGCACCGCATCTGCAGTGCCCCTTGAGAGCAGGTAGTTATTTTCGAGAGCTGCTTCTTGTATGACAGAAGGTTAGTTTGGGTCTCATAATAAAACGGACAAAGCAAGGTAATGATAAATGACGGTCGTGATAGGTCACTTTTCCCGAGTTTTTTTCCGATGTTGTTGCTCACATGGGTATTTACAAATTGTTCGAGTCGCTTCTAAACATAGTTTGTTGCGTGTACTCTGAACCCGCCACCCAGCTTGCGGCGTCCAATTAAACGGCTAATTTTGCCTCCTCTTTCGCCATACGAATGTGGAGGGTTTCATGTGCCACGCGATGCTACAGCCTGGTTCTCCCGGGCCTGGGTTGACCCTCATTGGACAGTTGTCAGCTGACCTTTCCATTTCAGTCGGGCAAAGCAACGTCCCTGCTTTAGGACTGATACATAGCGCCGCTGGTACGCGAGTCCAGCAGGTTTCCCTATGCTTCGAAGACGGTATGAATTTTAGGTCTGTCATGGCTTTTGAGAGCTGAAGCAATCCCGACATGCAGGTACCTGGTCTGTGCCCATGTGAAGCGGCCGGTGCAATCAGTTCGATGAAGAATGAACGCTTGCAGCGCCCCGCCATCGCCACTTATCATTTCAATGAAGAAAGGACATGATTCGGGGGCTGTGGGGAGGCGAGAGGCGAGGGCAGGCCGAGCGGTCAGCTCAGGATGGGAGCCCTTTTGGTGGGTAATGACCATTGCAGGGGTGTGGGACGAAGGAGAGTGAAACATGGTGGAGCAAACACGCACGCACCTGGGGGTCCATACGTGACTTGGCCCGCACAGCGACCCCTGCGCGGAGTATGTGCTCGTTACCCGAACGGGGTTCCCGCCAGAAGGTATGTAAGCCCACTCATGGCGCACGTGGTTTGCACCGGTCAAACGAGGTAGTGCGAGAACGAGGAATGAAGGGAGGATGAGAGCGGCAGGGCAACTGGGCCGACCGGTCGCCGCACGCGGCGCGCGAACGTCTCCTGAGCATCTCCTGAGCGCGACCGTCTCCTCTCCTCCTGAAATGGGCCGAGGCTGCGGACTTGGATGGCGTGTAGTCCGCAACAACGCACTCAGTGGACCCCAATGTGCGATCGATGGTGTTCTTTTTCTCACTGCCGGGCAAGGAGGGGGTTGGGTTAGCTGGTGACAGTGATGTGTTTATGTATATTTTTTGAGAGGACAAACACTAAGAGATAAGTTATGATGTTGGTGCCAAGCTGGCACTCACATTAAAGCAAGTCTGCCAATGTTTAGGTGCCACGGTAGTTGTGCAATATCAGGCTCCTTCCGTCCCCAACTCTACCCTCACCAAGGATTATTTTGTTACCTTAATTGGGATAAAGTTATATATTTCAATAATGATTTATTGTTATGTCATCGTGGGATGAAATAATGTTGTTCTCTTTTGTGGGTGTCCCTCCTTAAGACATTGTGTTTCAGTTGTTTTCTCAGGAGCTCTTAATACTGACTTGAGCCCACCTTCCGTGCTCTTCTGAGCCCCACACCATCCTCTTGCATATGTGAAAAGTAAATACCGGGCCCAAGAAATGTAGAAAATATACCTGAACTGACGTCAACAAGGTACTTTAGCACGTCACTATTAATATGACGTAAATTTTGATCCAGGTTAAAATATTTTTGTATCCACTCTCTTATATTTAAAGCCAGTGTGCAAATGTTCGCAGCCTTTCTTTACATATCACACATGTATCGGGACAACAAACAAATTGACCGCGATATGCGCCAGCTTTTTAAAGCATTGGGTGGCGCCGGCAAAAGTTAATCAATATCCTCTCTAACATTGACAAGCGTATTTCTCGCTGACCGGATTGGGTGATGTTCGGCTCATGGTAAAACGCGAGCAGCAACAGTGGTAATAATCGGAGATTGCATCACCTGTCTTGACCACAAGAGGTGGCGCAGATGACTCCCTGGCGGTCCAGGATGCACAGCAGTTAAACCTGCTGAAGGCAGCTCATCGTCCAGTCGATCTTGTGGACGGCAATGCCTCCCATCTCAAGCCTAGTGGTGACCTTGAGTCTTGAAGGTTTGATAGTTTGACCACGCGGACGCGGTTGTTGAGGTTGCCCAAATCAAACTCGAATAAACTCCGTGGGCCCAAATCAAATCAACCCCGTGGGCGACTGGTAGGGCGAGTGGGAAGCTGTGGCAAGGAAGTCCTAAGCTGATGTGCATTCCGGTGGAATGCCCCTTGAACTGATCTAGAATTGTTGACCAGGCGACAACGCGCACGTGTCGTGTGCGGTGTCGCCCGATTGCTACCACTGATGCTTCTCGTGCTTTGCCATCAGCCGAATACCATCCAGTCCATCCGGTGAGAAACACGCTTGCCACTGTTCAGGAAAATGGTGTTTAACTTTTGCCTGCGTCACCCAGTGCTTAAAAAACTGGCGCATATTGCAGTAATTTTGTTTGTTGTCCAGATCCACGGGTGATATGCAAAGGATGGGCTTCATGATCACTTCATGTGGTGAAATACACCTGTCACTGATGAATGAAGCGTGGGTCATCTTTAAAAAGCGAATTTTAAGATGCACTCTAAATGCACGTCAGTTCTATATAATCTTCCCTCACAGTCTATCTGAGCATCTTTTTAAAAGGAAAGAATGTTCACACGAATGGAATGTTCACACGAATGGAATGGGAAGACTGGTGTCTCAGTGATCATACCGTGTGCCGAAATGGTGTGCGCTATGATGGGGTTCGGCCATGAGCTTTATAAGATTTAGCATAAGCCTTTCAATTGGATGCATGTCTAGAATCAGCGCCAATGCCAAGTGATGCTTGCTGTGTGAGCTCTAAGCCCACCACCCAATTGTAAAATCCGTGTCAATGATATCATGACACAAGCCCGGCGATGTAATTTCGGTGACAGCTCCACTTGTCGCAAAGCTCGGTACGGTTTACCCGGCCCTCTGACGTCACCTGAATATTAGTGCGGCCGCTGGCACCGGCCACAGGTCGTGCCAGTCAGAGGCAAATAGCGAACGCATAAAGCGGCCCAAACACACTCCGCCACTGTTGGGTCATAGAAAGGCAGGCGATCCAACTCAACTGATCTGTCTGGATGGGCTAAGCACAATTATGACGGGACGGTTAAAAGTACGACTCGGCGATATGTCCCCTACCTGTGTATACTACAAAAAGTGTGTCGAGGAATGGAATCAACACATTTTGTGCGACGTGCTCCAGTGCGAAAAAATGTTGGGTGGTGTGGATAGATTCTTTTAGAAAAATCTGACCATGACCACCACTTCTTAACGCCGAGTTTATCTTAAACCTAGCCAATGCTCTCCTGGTTACGTTGTTTAGCCACCACCTCTTGGCATACTGCGAATCGATCACCATCGATGTGAGACTTCAAGGCGTTTTTTACTGAGTTCAAATCCCAACACGCGGTAAAGCGTTTGTCACGTTCTTTTAAGACGGCCTCATTGATGACTCGTCCGGTCGCCAGCCCTTACGTAACTCTGTCCATCCAGCCATCAAAATGCCTGCTGAGGACGCAAACTTGTTTTGGTTGCGCAAGTACATGTTCGTTAGTGTTCAGTTCCACTCTGTATAGGTACTTCCCCGCAGTGTACACGATAAAGTTTCCATCGTCTTCTTTTGTACGTGTGAAACCCCGTTATTGTGCACAATGCCGTCTTTTGTGGTCGGGCAAACCTTTGATGGGCAAAAAACGACACCTCTTTTTCGTTAACTACAACGGCTGACTTCTTAGATGATTCTTTAAAAAATACTACCAAGTTCCAGCTTTTCACAAATATGCAGCCTTAGGTCGGCTAGCAATAGTAAGTCGTGTCCCTGTGACAAGACGATGACAAAATTAACCAATTTTTATGAATTGAGGACGTTAATTGACGGCCGAAGCCAGAAGAGATCGGGTTTCAGGGGTAGGTTGGGTCAACTTTATCAGCTCACCCCCTCCTCATCTCCCAGCAGTGTAACAAGAGTGCCTGTTTTCTTACCGTAAGGTATTCTATTGTTATTGATGCTCATCTCCCCTTTGTTTTCAGATCCATTTATCCCACTGACGAATACTTGCTCATTGCAACAATGTCAAGGTAAGTAAGTGGCGAGTTTGTGTTAATTCGTAGTGCAGTTGAAGCTGTCTTCACCGAGCAGCATCATATCAAAATAAAAAAATTCAACTGTCATTTGCGCTCTGTACCATCCACCCAGAAAGATGTTTCTTTGATCAGTCCGTTTCCAGAGCATTTATTCTCCAGATTTCAGCACGGAAAAGTATGTGTTTGAGCTGTGCATGGACTCGAACGATATAAACATCACCATGTCTTATATATATATATATGTGTGTGTGTGTGTGTGTGTGTGTGTGTGTGTGTGGTGTGGGTGTGTGTGGGTGTGGGTTGTGTGTGTGTGTGTGTGTGTGTGTGTGTGTGTGTGTGTGTGTGTGTCCATGAGCTGTGCAACGGCTCTCTGCAAGTTCGACAAAATTTGGTGGGTGTCATTTCCGGCTAAATATTGCCTGAATATGTTCGTGTAATTTAGTCGATGTAAATCAGGTGACCGTAGCGAATTCATTAAACGTAGGTTGTATTTAATGACGTCACGCCAACGTGGGGCACCTTTGCGTACTTTTGCAGAGCCTGTGAAGTTCAGTACACGCCAGGGGAGGCGTACCGGTACAGTACAGGCCAACACTGCCAGCACAGTGCTGGGAGTGAGCAGGCAAGAGCACCACACTGACACTGGAATGTGACGTTGTGCTTCACGTCAATCACGCCCTTGGAGCAATGCAATCAAGGTGAGAGTTTAGTCCTTTGGCCACGTTTCGCGTGCGAAGAGCCTTCAATGAAAGATTTATATGCATGAGTAGCGTTTCATGCAATCATAATATGGCGAGCAATGTGGATTGCTCAGGTATTGACATTCCAGCCCATTGCGCGCAAAACGCTTTTTCCCTCCTCAACATTGTGCGCTAAACGTACCAACCGACAATGGATGGTATGCAAAAGCGCAGCCAAAGGAGGGACCCGGGGACTGCGATGCCTTGATTTAAGTCGATACTGATTTGGCATCCGCTGTCGGCACCGCTACACAGAAATATTGCAGTTCTAGCACGCTGTTGGTACCGCGGCACAGCAATCCTTCAGCTCTAGTTGGCATTTAGCGTCAGACGCAAGCTCGATATGTCGTTCATAAAGTGCCGGAGCTAGTCGCTGATGCCGATTCTTCTCCCCTCTGTCCGCAGATAGAGAACGTTGTGCTCCACACGGTGGCGGTCGACCAGGGCTCGCTGACGGACAAGGACATCGAGAGCGACAGCTTCACGTCACCTCTACAGACATATCAGCTCAGGTGAAAAAGCATGCTCACACCGCCTCTGCAGAAGTATCGGCTCAGGTGAAATAGCACACTCACACTGCATCTGCAGACGAATCAGCCCAGGAGAAATAGCACACTCACACTGCCTCTGCGGACGTATCAGCTCAGGTGAAAAAGCACGCTCACACTGCCTCTGCAGACGTTTCAGCACAGGTGAAATAGCACAATCACACTGCCTTTGCAGGCGTATCAGCTCAGGTGAAATAGCACACTCACATCGTGTTTGCAGACGTACCAGCACAGGTGAAATAGCATACTCACATCGCCTCTGCAGACGTATCAGCTCGGGTGAAATAGCACACTCACACTGCCTCGGCAGACGTATCAGCTCAGGTGAAATAGCACACTCACACTGCCTCTGCAGACGTATCAGCACAGGTGAAATAGCACACTCACACTGTCTTTGCAGCCGTATCAGCTCAGGTGAAATAGCACACTCACATCGTCTCTGCAGACGTATCAGCTCAGGTGCAAAAGCCCGGAACGAAAAAGTACTAGCCATGTGTGGCACGCCATGACGTACCGCCAAAATATGGCGTTTTATGACTGCTAATACCGTCAATGACCTACCATAGATTTTAGAAGGTTGCATTCAGTTCGTTTCTTCTCTATGCTGTCGTAAAGGGTATACGAGACCTGCTGCTATGGGACAGCCTTGTTGTGGCTATGTCCATGCCACCATCAGCGATGATCAAACCGAACTGGCATGACAAGCCGTGCTACGACGTCCGGTGATAACGTCCTGCATCCCCAGGTACGGATTCCAAGACGGCATCGTGGACTCGGTCTGCCCCGAGAGCGGGGACCCGACGTGGTCCGTCAACGTGAAAAAGGGCATCGTGGTCGGCCCTGCAGAACTCGAATGGACAGGCTTGATCTCAACTATGACGAAGTAGAGGTAAGTTCGGGATCCTTCCCCGGTAAAAAAAAAACACCTTAGAACGAGGCCCAGGTTTTGGAAGTCATACGTATGTGTACTTTGCAAAAATACAATCACTAAAAGATGTCGACGATGTTTCAGCATTGCTCGCGGCTAGCTAAGAGATAAAACATTCTCGAGCTCGGCTGGTGAATGCGTACTGCGCAGCGCTTTGAAGCGCACCCTGGAGCTCAAACGTTTTATCATTCATGGAAAGTGAGAACCAGAATTCGGCAGGTAGCGGCTGTGATATGGGGCCAAACCGGCATCGGGGGACATAAAAACCGTTTTAAAGATGTCGACATTTCTGTCTTCAGGAAGGGCGCGTTATGGTCCCAGTGACTTTGACCCGTTCCCCACTGACGACGCCCGTGCCTCGTCACCACTGACGCGGTGTGCTGACGTCACAGCGAGACGTGACCGGGGACTGCCCGGGCCTCCTACACGGTCGAGGGCACGAGCAGCGACGGCCTGCTGATCACCAAGCTCCGCGACCTGAACGCCTGCGTCGGCAGGTTCGCCCACACCTCGCACATCCAGGGAGTCGGCTACAGCATCAAATCGGTGAGGTGGTCATCCGGCTCCGAGGTGAAGACCCATGCAGCGGGGGCGCGTGTGTGAACTGTGTGGATAAGGCAGCCTTGGGGAGTGGCCAAGACACTGTTAACGCCCTGGATCGACGTCAGCCAGCGCTGGATGACTGGCAGAAAGCGTGCTGTGCAGTGTACCAAGAACACTTGGCCCGACAGTTTACAAGTCACGGAGAAAAACAATCCACTGACAAACATCGGTTTTTCCGTGGCTCAGGACATCTCTTTCAGGCAGTTTCGGCTCGGAACGGCCTGCTCAGTTACACAACTAACACCTCTTTTTTAGTCAGCCTGAGCTGCCTAGAGCATGAAAACGAATTTGATAGAAAACGTACCGGGTGTAGCTGCGAGTAGCCAGCGTAGAGGTAAGGCGCAGTCACAGGCGGTGTCCACCGCGGCTGGCTTGGCATCCGTGGTCTAGCGTCCGTGACAACCCAGTCTGGTGACAGTAGACGGCTTGGCCGTGTTACAGCCGGTGCAGAACATCCCGATCGTGGCCAGCAACAGCCGGTGCAGCCAGACGCTGCTGACAACCGGCTCTCCAGCGTGCAGTGCGAGGAGCGCCATCTGCTGAAGCCGTTTCTCGCACGAGGCGTCCGGCGCTGTCACCGTCAGCGCGCAGAACCTCACCCTGATGGACGTCTCCACGGCCACCGTCTCACAAGGTGCGTCCATCACCCAGCCACCGGGACAAGCGTCGTGCACGGCGCATCTGGCCACCAGAGTCACCGTCTCGTCAGGTGGCGATCCTCCGTCACCTAAGCCAGCGTCTCACACAGCGTAGCCGGCCACCAGTAGTGGTGTCTCGCGGGGTGTACCCAACAGGCAGGACCGTGGTCTGGCAGAGCATTCTCAGCAAGCCAACTCCACCGTTTGGTGTGGGTGACGGGCCGCTGTCTGCCGCAGACGTGGTGCAGAACAGGGAGACCCTGCTGTACAACCACATGCCGGCCAAGGCAGCGTCCCACACCCGCGAGAAGTCGTTGGCTGAGGCGGAGACGCTGGTCCGGGAACTCTGCGAGGACGTGAGTGTCGCCGGCTGCGACGCGGAATCCGAGTTTGGGGCCGGTCGTCCGTCATGCGTTCGGCGCATCGCTCCTACTGTGACTATGTGTGGCCACGCTGTCATCAGTGTGGCTATTTACGCTATTGTTGTTACGGTGTTGAATACCAACACAGCAACGCCCATCTATATATTACATATATATGATATATGTTATATATACTATGTAATATATATATATATATATATATATATATATATATATATATATATATGTATATACTATAGTATATATATATATATATATATATATATATATATTATATATAGTATATATATAGTATATATATAGTATATATATATATATATATATATATATATATATATACTACGGAATATATACATATACGGTATTTATATACATATGTAAGTTTTATTAGTCTATAAACCATAATTATCATATCGTGGACGAGTGTCCATATAGTCTCGATTCATTGACACAATATATAAGACGTAATAACGGCTTTATGCCTTCAAACCAGTGGTGATGCCCGGCATGCTCATCGACTCTCAAACAAGCTCGGGAGGCCTCTGGCGAAACCATAACGCCAAAAGAATGGAATCGAACTTTGGATGAGGTCCAATCGTGATAAGTGTGTGGTTATCGCCCGCTTGGGTATCGAGCGGACCAGCCCAGTGCCGGTGACTAGACCGGCTGCGTACCGCGAATCCATGCCTCTGACTCCCGTCTCGTTCCACCGGCCGGCAGGACTCGGAGGTGCGCGTGGACTCGACCACCAAGTTTTCGGAGCTGATTGACGACCTTCGGGGCATGAGTCACACCTCGATCACATCGCTGTACCGACTCAGCCCCAGCATCTGCCGACACGGACAGTAAGGGCCACACGCACCGCCTGTCGGTCATACGGCACGATCAGCGCTTCCTTGCTGACCACCTCATTGCTATGACCAAAGCGTTGGCAGTGTTATGCTACCAGCTGTCACAAGAAGCTTTTCAAAAATTGACGTTCTTAGAATGTCTAGACAATGAAAGCAGCTAACCGGGCATTCTTAACTCCTGACTAGTTTGTTTTACGGGTTGTGTTAACACAGGTTCTGCAGTGTTTTAGAAAGATGCACAGTACAGCATTGCGTAGTTCCCCCGAATTACTCCAGAAAGTAGCATCCCATCGTTTCGGTTTCGCACCGAAAAATTTCACAGATAGGACCAACCAGGCTGCCGGCCATGTCGGCACAGCGATCGTCGATGTCACTGCCTTTCGCATGGCCCTGAACCGTGCTGTGGTGACGTCGTCGATGTCTCTCCGTATGGCCCTGAGACGCGCTGTGGTGACGTCACCGCTTCCCTCTCCGCATGACCCTGAGCCGTGCTGTGGTGACGTCATCGATGCCTATCCGCATGGCCCTGAGCCGTGCTTTGGGGATGTCACCGATGTCTCTCCGCATGGCCCCTGAGCCATGCTGTAGTGACGTCACCGATGCTTCTTGCCAGGCAGCTGATCGAGGGATGCCCTGCCGGTTGTCTCCCACGGCCGCGTCTCTGGAGTTGACCAGGGACCTGATCCTGAATGAAGAGGTTTCTCCGCGCGTGGCCAACACCTGGCTCATGGCTCTCAACTTCATTCCCAGGTACCGACCGCAGCACACAGGCTCACCACCGCTCTGGTTCATGTGGTATGAAGAGGCCCCGGAGGCATTCTTCATAAGAACTGCTCCTGTTAGCCCTGTCTCCAGTCTAGCCTGGCGTTAAAGCGGAAGTTGCAGGGAAAAGCCGCATGGTCTACGAACCTGGTGTTTTTTGTGCTGAACTCCTTGACATTCTTGCATGGCGTCCTGCAGATCAGCTTTCCTCTGGATGTGGTGTCCTGCAGATCAGCTTTCCCCCTTGGATATCAGATGAGATCAGCTTTCCCCCTTGGATCCCCCCTTTCCCCCGCTTTCCCCTCCTTAGATATGGTGTCCTGCTTGCCTGGCATTTTGGTTCATCTGACGTTCGGCTAACCTGCTTATCTCGTATTATGCCAGATTATGACACGAATTTTACGAATGTATGGTCTGCTGACCTGGTGACCTCCTGACCGGGCAATCACATGTCTCGGTGTTTTGCTGACGAGCTGGCCAGGCATCCCGCTGACTTCCTGACGTGGTGACCTGTCAACACGATGACCTCAGCTGGATTGGTACAGCTGCTGACCTTGTGCTCCTCGGCGCTCCAGCGTGGACCAGGCCATGATGGAGACGGCCGGCGGCCTGCTGCAGGTGCGACAGCCGGCCGTGCGGACGCGCGCGCGGCTGGCGGTCGGCGCCGTGCTGCATCAGTACTGTCGACAGCACGCCGACTGTCAAACCAACCACGTGGCGCTGGAGATTATGGCCGAGATGGCGCGGCCTCTGGGCGACAGCTGCCGCGCCGACACCGAGCAGGACGAGAAGCAGGTGAGGCCGCTGCGCCACATGGGGTCGGACGCTGCAGGCGAGGAGAAAACGTCCCAGGGACGAGGAGTTCGTTCGGCTGCCGTCCCGAGGTGAAGTAACGCACGGGGGGGCTGGTCGGAACGCTGCATTGGCCACAGGGTCTGAGACGATCAACAGCTAGACTGCCGCACTAATTCCCAAAAGATCAGACTGACGCAAAGGCCCCGGTTCATCGACGACGAACTGACCGCAACAGCACCGGTTCATCGACGAAAGACTGACGCAACGGCGCCGGTTCGTCGACGACAGACTGGCGCAACAGCGCCGTTTCACTGAAGGCAGACTTACGCAACGGCCACAGGTTCACCGACGATAGACTGACACTTCGGTGCCGGTTCATCGGTCACAAAATGACGCAACAGCACCGGTTCATCGACGAAAGACTGACGCAACGGCACCGGTTCATCGACGACAGACTGACGCAACGGCACCGGTTCATCAACGACAGATTGACGCAACGGCACCGGTTCATCGACGACAGAATGACGCAACGCCACCGGTTCATCAACGACGGATTGACGCAACGGCGGCGGTTCATCCACGACAGACTGCTGTACCGACACAGGTGACGGGCGAGACGGAGGCAAGCCGTTGCCTGTTTCTCGTCATGTCCAACCATCTGGCATGGAGTGATGGGCGGGAACTGGTCAGACCGGCGCATCAGCACATAGTCACGGACGATAAATGAGTCAAACTGCTGCAATGGCACAGGTCACGGACGAGGAACAGGTGGGACCGGGTGACGGACAAGACGCGGGTCAGGTCACGGCGCCCGCACGGGGTCGCGGACAGACGGACGGTCTGCCGGACGAGTGCACGTGACACCGAAGGAGCTGACGTTGCACATTTGCATAAGAAGTGATTAGTGTCGTGATGCTGTTCGCCGCGATCGATAATGTAATTGCAGATTGCGGCCTGGTTACTGCTACGAATTGGAATGAATTGGTTGTAAGCAGAACATGTAGGAATACTCCACCCATAAAACCTGAAGGCAGAGCAACTGGATGTTAAAGCTGCATTCATTAAAGACGGGCCATGAAGTCTGCTCCTCTTTCTGGGCGTTAGGGATTCCCCCTTTTTTCAACTTACCATCCCGCGCATTATGTTTGAGTGCACCTCTAGCAGACACCCATTGCGGGATGTGCTGGCCCGACTCGGTCTCCGATGTGGTGGTGTTTCTGCTGACTGTTGTCGCTGCTGACCCAGCTGCTGCTGACGCTGCGATCCATCGGCAACGCCGGTCTCTCGCCGCCTGGCGTCGTCAACACGCTGAACGAATGCTTTCTGAGCCGCGACAACCCGGCCCGGGTCAAGGTGTCTGCCATCGAGGCGTTCAGGTAAGCGGCGCTCCCCCCCCCCCCCCCCAAGTACCTCCCGGGGTACACCGCTCCTGCTCCCGCCGCGGAGCGTATCTCCTGGAGCCGGGTGAAGGTGTCTGCCATCGAGGCGTTCAGGTGAGCGGCGGCCCCTCCCGAGTACCTCCCGAGGTACACCGCTCCTGCTCCCGCCGCGGAGCGTATCTCCTGGAGCCGGGTCAAGGTGTCTGCCATCGAGGCCTTCAGGTGAGCGGCGGCCCCTCCCGAGTACCTCCCGAGGTACACCGCTCCTGCTCCCGCCGCGGAGCGTATCTCCTGGAGCCGGGTCAAGGTGTCTGCCATCGAGGCGTTCAGGTGAGCGGCGGCCCCTCCCGAGTACCTCCCGGGGTACGCCGCTCCTGCTCCCGCCGCGGAGCGTATCTCCTGGAGTCGGGTCAAGGTGTCTGCCATCGAGGCCTTCAGGTGAGTGGCGGCCCCTACCGAGTACCTCCCGAGGTACACCGCTCCTGCTCCCGCCGCGGAGCGTATCTCCTGGAGCCGGGTCAAGGTGTCTGCCATCGAGGCGTTCAGGTGAGTGGCGGCCCCTCCCGAGTACCTCCCGGGGTACGCCGCTCCTGCTCCCGCCGCGGAGCGAATCCCCTGGAGGAAGGCGTCACCTTTGGTCGGCGAGGATTTCGTGTGGAGCTGCGCACAGAGACGGCTCGCTGCCGGGTCCCTGCCCCTGCTGGAGGTAGGTCAGCCAGCTGACGTGTGGATGCGCACTGTTGTGGGAGGTTCAGATGACGCAGCCAGCTGACGTGCGGATGTGCACTGTTGCAGGAAGTTCAGATGTTGCAGCCAGTGCGGATGCACACTGTTGCAGGAGGTTCAGATGACGCAGCCAGCTGACGTGCGGATGTGCACTGTTGCAGACGGTTCAGCTGCCGGGTGCACCGGGACGCCATGCGCGCCGTGTTCCGAGACCTGGCCGAGGACAGCGAGGTGCGCATTGCCGCCTACCTCGGTCTGATGCGCTGTCCCTCGCACCAGGAGATCGGCCTGGTGCGCGCCGCCCTGGAGCAGGAGCAGGTCAATCAAGGTGACGGTCCGCCTCACGTGTGCGATGCCGTGGTGCACGTGTGGGTCCCCCCCCCCACACTGGCCCAAAGCCGAGCCAACAGCGGGCCGCTCGCTGGCAGCCGGGTAACGCGAAAACGTGCGGTCGCAGGTCACCGTTGGACATCTCACTGGTCACCGGCTAGTGATGCTTTGTAACCCGTGGGATAGAAAGCTCCAGTATCAATGTTAAACGTTGTCTGAGCGCAGTGCAGCCATTGAAAGGTGGTAGGTTATGGAACCATCCAGGAACCCATGTGTGATGAAAAGGTGCACATAAACTCAATGTTTTATTAATTTTGTGTGCAGTATTTATTGTATCCAAGGTTTGAAGGTAATAGTGAATTTACGCTAACCATTATCGGACAGAGAACTAATTTGATACCAAATATGAAACGCACAGAGCGTACCTCTGATTAGGAGAAGTTTAGCTGTGAATGCAATGTGTACATGATACTATATTTTAAGCTTCTCCAGCTTTGATGCGCCATAAATGCCTGGCCGCTTTGCGGGATGACGCTTTTGTTCATCAGACAATGAAAACAGCCTTATAAAACAGTCTCATATGCTCATGATGTTCTTTTCGTCATTTCACGTTCGCGGTACTTTATTACTTGAACCCATGGGACCAAACGCACAAATTTCAAATGACAAATTTGCCCACTTTGCAAAAAAAACCGCTTCCGGTGGGTCTTACCGGTATTTTGATAGGCTTAAAGTTAAATGATGGGTTTCGCCTCAGTTTGCTCTATCTTTCGTGCAATCAGAACTATACTTAAGTAGAATACGGGGAAGCCAATTGGGGTACGAGTGGAATGAATGCCAGCGTGAAGGGAACTGTTGGGAAGCTGCCAAGTCCACTTCAGTAGTGGGTAAATGACGGTGTCTCCTCACAGCTGAAAATGGCCGGTGAAGAGTTATTGATGATAACTATCCTTGTGTATTTCAGTGGGCTCCTTTGTCTGGACCCACCTGAGTAATTACAGGAGACGTCATCTCCGTACCAGCTAGAAGTGCAGGGCCTGCTGGCTGATCTTTCTTTGAAGAAGAAGTTTTCCACCGACGTCAGGAAATTCTCTCGGAACTTCGAGATATCAGGCTTCAACTCGGAATACCACATGGGCGCCTCACTGGACTCCAACCTCGTCTACAGCTCGCGGAGCTACGTGCCGCGGTCGCTCAACTCCAACCTGACGCTTCAGCTCTTCGGCGAGGAGAGTGTCCAACCTAGTGGAGGTACTTTCCGGTGAACCGTCTATGTTTACTGCTCCTCGAAATTGCCTCGGCTTCAAAGAGCAGAATGAGTTTGCTGGTAACGTAATTCAGCCATTTTATTGGATGAATGGAATAATGACAGCGTAGGCGTTAAGCGTTATTCAGCATGAGTGGGGCAACGGAAACACGCCGGAAGGTGTGTTATTCGTCCCGATAGCTCAGTTGGTTCGAGTGTATCCATCCGGTCCACCCGTCACCCGCTGTTGTCCTGTTCGAGTTGCTCTAGGCGCTCGCTATCTGGCCTTCACTGAGATGGCCTGCGGCTGGTGGCTACGGCCGCTTTAAAGGTCAGGTGTTGCAGAGGACACGGTAGGCCGTGCTGAGCATTGCGGCATGTTGAACCCTCGCCACCCAATTCTGCCGTTTGCCTGAAATTCACGATCGTATGGTGTGGTCAGGGTTCACGAAACAGGCACTGCTTAGCGTGGGCTCCAATCCCAGAAATAAACGTATTCAAGTGGTTACGACTGAATCTTTAAAAAAAAATACAAGGATCACGCGGTTTCAGTATGCAGAGAATCCGATAGGTGTCACTGATGTCATAGATGACAGTAACAATTTTAGCACCGCATCATTTGAGTCCTACCGGGGTCCGACAGAGGCTATTTAATGAGTGCATGGTTTGGGCCGTAGCGAGGTCCGACAATCGGCAGTGGTCATTTGCTGAGTCTGTGACTTGGACCGTAGCGAGATCCGACAGTAACCAATTGATACGTGTGTGGCTTGGACCATAGCGAGATCCGACAGTGGTCATTTGATACGTGTGTTGCTTGGACCATAGCGAGGTCCGACAGTGGCCATTTGATACGTGTGTTGCTTGGACCATAGCGAGGTCCGACAGTGGTCATTTGATACGTGTGTTGCTTGGACCATAGCGAGGTCCGACAATGGCCATTTGATACGTGTGTTGCTTGGACCATAGCGAGGTCCGACAGTGGCCATTTGATGCGTGTGTTGTCTTGGACCGTAGCAAGGTCCGACAGTGGCCATTTGATAAGTATAAGTGTGTCTTGGACCGTAGCGAGGTCCGACAGCGGCCATTTGATACGTGCGACGTTCCAACAAGTCTTGGACTCGGCTACTGCGGCCATACCCGGCGGCGGCCACGTAACCGATGCGTCGTCTCGGCAGGTCGGAGCCCGCGTGGAGGGCATGGAGCGCGTGCTGGAGTCGATGTTCGCGCCGGGAGGCGTGCTCCACAACGCGGCGCCCGAGCCCCTGTTCCGCGGCCGACGTGACGCCGCCCAGCAGCGGATGGAGCAGATCAAGGCCGACTTTGACGGCCCTCCGACCGATTCGGCAAGTCCTCTGGCCCTGTTCCATCTCAAGGCGAGTGGGCAGCGCGCGGGGCCTGATCATTTGGCTTGGCTCTGAGACATGACCAAATTCGGTTTTCAAAAAAGGGTTGAGTCATGGGCTTGGTGATTGCGAGTGAACGCTCTGTGTTTGAAATTCGAAATTGCATGTTTGATCGACGTTCATTGGTCGGCCAATGCAACGCAAGCGCTAATATTGGCCTGTTTCCCAGCCTGTACTCAAGCGTGGGTTATGTTGAATGACCTGTGCGTGCTGTCGCAGGTCTTCGGTCACGAGGTCGAAAGCATCGACCTACGCAGCTCGGACATGGACTCCATTTCGAAATGGCTGGCGCAAAACGGTCCGGCAGAGTGGGCCAACGCGCTCAGCAACACCGAGGTCAGTGGTCACCGGCGCCGGATTTCTTACGCACACTTGTGAACCACTCCGCTTTACTTTCTTGACGAACCCACCGCACCATACCAAGCACGGCTGTTCGGCTATCCATTCACTTTCTCCTGTGAAACTGAAGTAGCAGCATGCTCAAAGGGACGTTGTCCTTGCGTAGTTGACTGTTCTCGAGGAAAGCGTCGTGCGTCATAAAATGTTTCGTGATGTCATTTCCGGGCAGAAGCGCACCGGACAGGCCTTCGGCTCACCATGAGTGTAACTCACCCATGTATGTCCATACGCCTGGTCGCATTGTCTTCCAGGTTTTAGCGCACCATTGACAGTTCCAATGACGCCACGTTGATGACCGGCGTAAAAGACCATTCAACCCTTAGCAATGAGTTGCACCGAAAATCAGTGTCTACCAACGGTGTGCATATCCCGTCCCACACGCGAGGTGTTGCGCACGTCGGCGCCGCGGTGGCGCGCGTGTTCGTGGCGTGCCTGACGGTCGGTCCTCGACAGAGTCTGGACATCAGCCGGTCGGTCAAGTTCCTGGAGGGCACGTACATCGTGCCGACCGGGCTGGGCCTGCCGCTGAACCTGACCGTCTCGGCCGTGGCCGCCGTCAACGTCCAGATGTCGGGCAACGCCCAGCTCGACCGGCTCCTCTTCAACCAGGAGCTCGACCTGGCGTTCCGCCTGCGGCCGAGGTACGGCCGGCCGGCACCGGTCACGTGACCGCCGTCGGATGTGAACGTTGTAGAGGCCGCACCACCGCTGACTGGGGCTGGTCGGCGAGAGTGCTGCCCATGGTGCTGGCCGCTGCTGGTCGGCTGAGGCCCCGGCCGCTGCTGATCGGCTGAGGTGCTGGCCGCACCACCGCTGACTGGGGCTGGTCGGCGGAGTGCTGCTCATGGTGCCGGCGGCTGCTGGTTGGCTGAGATGCTGGCCTCAGCGCTGCAGAGTGCCGGGCTTCATAGACACCTGATGATCAAGTGGCGACTGCCCTTTGCGATGGGAGGCGATTTGTGTGCATGTAGGTTGGTTATAACAGCTCAAAATGTGACCGCAGTGAAACATCTGTGCCAGGAGCCGCAGGCCGTGTTGACGCTGTTCATTATGAACGTTTTCAGCGGAGCGGTGACGTTCGACGGCACCATGATGGTAGACGGCATGGCAGTCCAGCTGGGAATGGGCATG